TCTTAAGCAGGGAAGTGGGATGATCAGATGTATGTCTGTTAAAGATTATTCTGGCTGAATGTAGAGACTAGATGGGATGAAGAAGTTCTTAGAGGGAACCTAAGGTGGATGTGGTAAGCCAGGAAAGAAGGAATGGAAGCCTATACCGGGGAAATGGAGAAAACTGAATGCGAGACAGGCTGAAGAGAATTCTGTAACTGACTGTATGGGAGGAAGGAGCTAGATAAGGGAAAGGCAGAGCCAAGGATTACACACTGAGGCTCAATTTAAGTAACTGAGTGAACTATAATGCACTCACTACAACAGAGAATACAGAAGTTTCAAGGAGAGATGAGGAATTATACTCTGGACATTTTAAGTTTAGCTACCTGTGGGATATCAAAGTCCAATAGATTTATAAATATGAAGATTAAAAAAGAAACATGGATTGGAGATCTGGAAATCTGGTATGAGATCATCCAGGGAAAAGTGTGTGGAGTAAGAAAAGAGGATTTTGGACAGAACTCAAAGAAACTCCAGTGGCAAAGGGACAAGGATACTCCATACAAGGGACTGTACAGGCAGAGTAGGAAGAAAACCAGGAGAAGAGCGTCATGGAAGCCTAGGAACATGAGCATCACACAAAGGAGGTACCAAGAGACCAAACACAGGAAGGACTGAGAAATGTCCATTGGATTTAGTAAGTATTGGCAACCTTTACAAGAAGAGTTTCAGGGAGGTTTTGGGTGGACAAGGCGAGACTGCAGCAGGATGAGGCGCGTGTGAAAGGAGCAGGAGAGGAAACAATGAGTATAAACAACATGCTCAGGAAGTTTGACTGTGAAGGGAAAAGTGAAATAGGGTAGTAACTGTAAAATGGGCTGGAGCTGAAGGACACATTTTGGGTTATCTTTTTATTTTAAACATGTTAGAGATGTGAAAATGGTTAAATGTTAATGGGAAGGAGCCAATAGGAAAATAGAAGAGAGGATATAACTAAATGAGGTTTCCAAAAAAGTAACAGGGAATGGGACCTGAAGTAGAAATGTAGGTAAGCCACAGAAAGTGAGAAATCTTCCATTAAAACACAAGAGAAAAAGGAAAGGATGGATATGAATAAAAGTGAGTTTAATGGTTGGGGAGACAGAAGTTGGAGGCAATTCCCCCCCACACACACTCTATCTATCTATCTATCATCTATCTATCTATCTATCTATCTATCTATNTCCACACACACTCTATCTATCTATCATCTATCTATCTATCATCTATCTATCTATCTATCTATCTATCTATCTATCTATCTATCTATCTATCATCTATCTATCATCTAATGACAGTCGAGGTGAGTCTGCAGTTATTTCTACCAGCAATTTATGAGAGTACCAATTTCTCCATAGCTTCACCAACACTTACTATTTTCTGTCTTTTTTATTATAGTCATTCTAGTGGTTTAATTTGCATTTGGGCACATTCTCTTCTGAGATCACCTATTTTTCCCTGTGAAGAAAGTTTCCTGTTAAGAGTAAGCAATAGAAAGTGGAGTGGAGCAACAACAAAAAAAGGTGGAGTCTGAAGCAGTCACCAGCGAGAATGAGAAAGACACTGGGCAGGGTTTAAAGAGATGCTGTGACAGCCCAGTGGAAATTCAGAGACCATAAGTCTGTAAAGGTACTCTACCCATCTGACGGCCTGTGAGATATTCTTCTCCAGGAAAGAGTTGGTTTTTTTATATTAATTTTATTTTTTTAAAGACTTTTAAAAAAATTACTGATCTTTAGAGAGAGGGAGAGGGGGAGGGGGAGAGAGACAGGAACACTGATGTGAGAGCAAAACATCAATCAGCTGCCTCACACATGCCCCCAACCAGGGATCGAGTCCACAGCCAGGGCATGTCCCCTGACTGGGAATCCAACTGGCAACCCCTCAGTGCATTGGATGATGCCCAACCAACTGAGCCACACTGGTAAGGGCTTGTTTTTTTGATTTTTTTTTTACTGATCTAACCAGAATTAGAATGGGAAACTGCTCAGAGGATTTTCTCATTTAAAGGCAATGACAGAAGTGCACCTGAAAAATCTACCATTTTTTAAATCGAATGATAGATTTTTTAAATCTATCAATCTCTCAGTTTAAGCCCTGTAACATACACATTAGAAGTGACAGTTTGCATCAGATTCACTTTCCTTGACCCTTGAGGACAAAGCACACATGTTCACTGCAGCAGATCTTACATTTGTACTATAAAGACTTAGGCTACAATCAGGTGCTAAATTCATCAAATATAAACTACAAGGAACACCACACATCTGTCATTACAATAATGGGTAATTCCTTTAAAACATGTCAGAATCATATCACAAAACATTAACTTAAGACTGATAATAACAATCATGTATACAAATAATAACTACATAAAAGAAAATGCTTTTTTACTTATTTACCTTGTAGAGTATGAGATACAGCCAGACTGGTTTAATTAATTCAATAAGTGCATCCCTATGCAATATATTTACTTGATTTAGAGATTTATCATTAAAGCATGCTGCTGCATACCACAGTTTTGTGCTCAGGGATCACATCCTGGGGCTGACTTACATGTGAACTAGATTTAAACTAAGGGTTTTATGGCACAAGGCGCTAATTGTTGTTTCAGTTATCTCTTGCTGAATAACATAACATCCCAAAACTCAGTGGCCTTAACCAATAGCAACATGTTATTTCTCTCAATCTTGTGTTTTGACTGGACTCAGATGGGTTGATTCCTGAGGTCACAGGCACTGGTGGGGCTTACCTACAGCTGAAACAGGTCTGGCTCACATATCTGGGCCAACCCAGGTGGTTTCACTCTTCACCTAGTTTAGCCCAAGCTTCCAAGCCTCTATACATGCTGATTGGCTTCCAAGAGAATGAAAGATGAAGCTGCCATGCCTCTTAAAAAACCATGCCCAGAACTGACACAATGACACTTCTGCTACATTTTACTGGTCAAAGCAAGTCACAAGGCAAGCTAGATTCAAATGGAGCAGAAACAGACTCCATCTCTTGATGGTAGGAGTGGCAGTCAAGTACAGGGATGGGAAGAATTTCTGGCAGTCATCTTTGGAAACTACCACAGCTGTAAACAATATTACTGGATGTTCCCACTATACCACCTGAGTCCAGGATTGAGGCACTCAAGAGAGGGTAGGCTTTGTCTATTTCCAAAACTAGAACTTTTCCTTAAGCATCAAAAAGAATATCTCAGCAAAGATTTTGCCCCTGTGGAATGCTAATCTGAGAAAAGCCATGGAATCTTCTTTTCTGGGGTTGTAGGAAAGACAGACACCATCCTTTAAGAATGGTCTCAGTATAGGCTCTCCTGGATGGGACTGCTCATCTCCTGAAGTCATTTCACACTTTATCGTTTACTATGTGTACATGAGTATGTTCTCATTTTTTTAAATGTATATAACACTAAAAAAATATAGAAGTATCTCCGGTGATTTGAACTCTTGCTATCTAAACTCTATCTAAACTCAAGAATCAAAAATATTTGGCTAAGTTCTTCAATACTCAAACTTTTGCTATTGGCCCTCCTAGACTCAGGAATGAGCTAGGTTTGGATATTACAGTATCTCTTATAACCTGAAATCTCACTATCTGAACAGCAACCCAGTAAATTTGCATAATAAAAAGGACTTATACCCCAAAATGTTAACTGTTGTTATTTTTAGATGGTATAATCACAAGTAAGTACATTCTTCTTTATGCTTCATATTTTCTAAATTTTCTTTTATTCTTTGCAAAATTAAAGAATTAAGTCTGTATTGTGGAATTAATGTGCTTGGAAACTTTAAAAAATTAAGTTCATACTGTAGATCAAATACGTAATTGATTTACTGACCTCCTCTAGGAAGTCTATTCTGGTTAAATTCAGACAATATTCATCATGTGCCTCCCATGCATTCCTCAACATGTACACAATGAGAGACATTTTTAATTTTTTTTTTAACCATAGAATATTTTTTAAATGTGTCCTAATGCCCTGCCTAGATTCTACACTCCTCGAGGGCCCAAAGCTTGTTTTCCATGCATGACCCCGAATGTAGTACACACAGAAGTAATAGTATAATAATAATAATAATAATAGTCTTTGACTTCCTTTCAGTTTTATCACCATTCTTCCAGATAAAGGAGACACTGTCTCAGACTTCCCAGCTTGAGCTGCTGATTATTAAGATAGAGCCAAGCTCTTGCTGGAAAATGCAGGCACTCTTTAATTCTGAAAAAATTTTTTAATTTTTTTAAGCTGAAAACTTGATAGCTTTGGTTTTTATGGCCGTTTTCTGAAGCTCTCCAAATTGGATCATCGGGATCATACACAATCACTGCGGAAATCTTTTTAATGACTAATATCCTTCCTCTTTAAGAGAAACAGACTAGAGGGTAGGCTGTCTAGAAGTATTAATAAATAGACTGGTATTCACACAATGGATTAAAAGATACCCTGCCCACAGATTAACTGCTGTATTAATAGAATCTAAATATACAGTTACATACTCAACCCTGAAAGTAGTTCAAAGAGGTGAAATTCAGCCACTGCTCACTTGGAATGGATACTTTCTAAAGTTTAAAGCACACTATAAACTACCACCAGGGTTAAATCGTTTTTCCATTTCTTTCAGCATTATATGCCTTGATGTTATGATCCCACAATGCACACCAGTTTCAGAAACTCACAGCTTTTGCCTCCAAGGGCTATAATCCTCCCCCCAAAAAACAATAGGCCAAAGACAAATAAGACAATGAATCTGGGTTTTTTTAAAGCATTATTATAATATTGCTTTATAAAATCGTAATCCCCAACTGCAGAGTTCTGCAGCAGATGACTTCGAAGCATCTCACATGCAAATAAACATAAACAAAAAGCCACTTACAAAAGCAGAACGGAGCGTGCCTCAAGGGTTATCTTAAACAGAACAGGCAGTTTGTTTAAGGCAGGACAAGCGAAATGTCATTTTACTCAGTTAACTCTATACCTGGATAAAGGTCCCTACTACGTGAACAGCCCTTGGTGGAGTCCGTGTCGTGGCGGAATGGGAAACAGTGAAGAATATGGTCTGTGACACCACTACCCTCCCCAGCGGAGGGAAAGGAGGAGATGCAAGAACCGTGAGGAAGAGCCAGCGAGGATGGGGAGGGTCGAGGTGGGCGTCTCTCAGCAAAACAACGCCGACAGCTGCGACAGACTTCAGCTAGCAGGAAACCCGCGTCCCTGCAGCTCAAAAGAGAGAGGGAGCACGGAAAACTTCCCCTAACCTCTCCCCACCCTTCTTCTCCCCGTGGAAGAAACGCTAGCTGAGGTGCCGGGCGTGCGGGCCGGCGGGGCCG